TCATTCCAGTGACTATTTTTAATACTGTTCAGTTTTATCTTACCAAATTCTTTATTCTCTATTTTCTTAGAGAGTAAGCCATTTGCCACCTTCAATCTTATCTTAACAAATACTAGCCCCACCCACCCACCCTATTTTTTTTTAATGGTTTGTCACTTACCACAATCGTTCTTATCTTGACAGGTACTAACCCCACCCACCCTCCCTCTTCTCATTCTAAAGAATTTATTTATTTCTGTTCAGTATAAGATCCACCTTTAATTCTGACTAGATAAAATGATCACTGAAATGGAAGTGGGGTGGGTGGGCGGGGCAAAGTTTAATTTTTTCTTTGAGTTTTTTATAAAAGTATTGCTCCCAACCACCCCCTCCTCATTCCAATGACTACTATTAATATTATTTAGTCATTTATCTAAATCAGTCTTATTTTAGCAGATACTAGCCCCGCCTACCCACCCTGTTCTAATTCTAGCGATCTTTTTTCTGTTCAGTACAAGATTCACCTTTGATTGACTCTAGATAAAGTAAAGTAAATCACTGAAATAGAGGCGGGGTTGAGAAGGCGGGTGGGTGGGCGGGGCTAGTTTAATTTTTTTGCTACAGACTTTTTTAAGCAACCAATAGCTCCTTTCACCCACCCATTTTCATTCCAGTGACTTTGATATCTACGCTCCAGAATTTTTTGTGGACTTTCAGTTTGCTTTTTCAAAAGAAAAATTTTGTAATTTGTTTTTCTTAATATTAGTCGTTTTTTTCACAACAGCAAACTTAGAACATGTTTAAAATGGTAAATTTGTATAGGGAAATATAGATTTTGCAATTACGCTCCGCCCCTATCTCTGACAACGAATGAAAAATTCAGCACGATTGAAATCGAGACGGATGGGTGGGGCTCCTCTTTTGGTTTTCTTCTTTAATTGATACATCTAGTTTTCTTTATATAACACAATTACTTAAGAACACACGGTAATTTCTCGGAAAAAAATAAGGATTTTACAATTAAGCTCCGCCTGTCGGCTCACGACGAATAAAAAAAAATCAACCGAATTGAGAGGGGTGGGTGGGCGGGGTGAAAAGCAGTCTACACATATTAAAACAAAAAAGCAGAATGTAAGCCCGCCTACCCGCCCCTACCTCAATTGTAATTATTTTTTTATTCGCCGAGAATCAAGGGGGCGGAGCTTAACTGCAAAATTATTATTTCTTTACAAGAAATTAAAAACATTTTGAGTATCGTGTTGTTCAAAGAATATTATGTATGTATATTAAGAAAAAAAGGCAAAACATGAAACCCACCCACCCGCCCCTACCTCAATTGTAATTATTTCTTTATTCGCCGAGAACCAAGAAGGCGGAGCTTAACTGCAAAATATTTATTTCGTTACAAGAAATTAAAAACATGTTTTTGAATATCGTGTTGTTCAAAAAAATACTATCTATATGAAAGAAAAGCAAAATATAAATACCGCCCACCCACCCCATCTCAATTGTGATGATTTTTTTATTCTTAGAAACTTAAAACACGTTCAAAATGGTAAATTTTTGTAAGGAAATATGGATTTTGCAATTATGCCTACCTAATTGCAAAAATCGATATTTCCTTATACAAATTTTCCATTTTAAACATGTTTTAAGTTTAAATGAAAAAAGACATTTTCTTCAGGTCTCATTTCCTTGGTAAGGTCTACAATTTTTCCGGAATCACCCATTGAAATAAGGCAATTTTTAAATTTTAAAAAAACTGAATTCCAAAACGATTCGATATCTACATTCCAGAATTTTTTGTGGATTTTTAGGCAAGTTTTTAAAAAGTAAAATTCTACTTATTTTATTTCGACCCTATTTCGGTCCCTTTTCGACCAATTTCGAATTTTATCGAAAGACATTTTTTTTTTAACTTCAAGCTGCAGACGTAACTTTAGGCCTAATTTCGTCATCATTTTTCCAGAATCGTCCATTGAAATATTCAGGTCTCATTTCCTTGGTAAGGTCTGCAATTTTTCCGGAATCAACCATCAAAATAAGGCGATTTTTTTTTTAAACTGAATTTCAAAACGATTCGAGATCTACATTCCCGAATTTTTTGTGGATTTTTAGGCAAGTTTTTCAAAAGTAAAATTCTCCTTATTTTATTTCGACCTAATTTCGGCCCTTTTTCGACCATTTTCGGATTTTATCGAAAGACAGTTTTTTCTGACTTCAACCTGCAGACGTAACTTTAGGCCTCATTTCTTCATCATTTTTCCAGAATCGTCCATTGAAATATTAAATTTTAAGGATTATTTTTTAAACTGGATTATATAAAATTTTACCCCGGAACCATAAACAAGCAATATTAAAAAAAAAACTTTTTTTTTGAATTTTTAGGTAGCCTTTTCAAAAGTAAAATTTTCAGTGCTCCTCCCTTACCAAAATTTCTACCCTTTTCCGATCATCTTCGAGATTTACACAAGGACATTTTGTTCGATAACTTCCACAATTTTTCCAAATTCGCCCATTGAAATAGGGCAATTTTTAGAATATTTTTTTTAAATTGAATTTCAAAATGAATATTTCTAAAATCTTGGGGCGGAACCATAAACAAGCAACATTTTTCAAATCAGAACTTTGATATCTACCCTCCAGAATTTTTTGTGGACTTTTAGTTTACTATTTCAAATGAAAAATTTTGTAATTTGTTTTTTTGCTTATATTTTCCGTTTTTTTTTTTTTCTTAATATACATAGACATCTTTTCACAACAAGAAACTGAAAAGATGGTTAAAATGGTACATTTTTGCAAGGACATACTTATGTATTTGGCAATTAGGTTCCGAATTGCAAAATCGATATTTCCTTATACAAATCCCGCCCTATCTCAATTGTGATGATTTTTTTTATTCGCCGAGAACCAAGAGGTGGAACGTAACTGCAAAATACTTATTTCTTTACAACACATTAAAAACATTTTGAGTATCGTGTTGTTCAAAGAATATTATGTATGTATATTAAGAAAAAAAGGCAAAATATGAAACCCGCCCACCCGCCCCTACCTCAATTGTAATTATTTTTTTATTCGCCGAGAATCAAGGGGGCGGAGCTTAACTGCAAAATACTTATTTCTTTACAAGAAATTAAAAACATGTTTTTGAGTATCGTGTTGTTCAAAAAAATACTATCCATATGAAAGAAAAGCAAAATATACACCCCGCCCACCCACCTCATCTCAATTGTGATGATTTTTTTATTCTTAGAAACTGAAAACACGTTCAAAATGGTAAGTTTTTCTAAGGAAATATGGATTTAAAGGAGTAAAAATTAAATTCTGCTCCTTTGGCTCTCAACGATTAAAAAAATTGTCATCACAATTGAGATCGGGCGGGTGGGCGGGGCTCATATTTTTCCTTTCTTCTTAACTTATGTAGTCGTGTTTTCAAAACAAGAATCTTAGAACATGTTTAAAATCGTAAATTCATCACAATTGGGAATTGAGATCGGGGGGGGTAGGTCCTAATCTTTGGCTTATGGCTTTACCATACGATACTCAAAAACATGTTTTTAATGTCTCGTGGAGAAATAAGGATTTTGCAATTAATCTCCGTCCCATTGGCTCACGACCAATAAAAAAAATCATCACAATTGAGATGGGGTGGGTGGGCGGGGCTACATTTTGCCTTTTCTTCTTAATATAAGTAGACTTATTTCGACAACAAGAAATGATTAATACTATTAATGATTGTGACAGAAGTAGAACTAAACAAAAAACATATTTGTTTAATTTTTAGTGCATATGATGTTTATTTCGTTTGTTATTAATTTTCTCCACTTTTTTATGCAACCCCTATACATACGTTTTCATATGTAGAAAAATAAGCTTTATCAAATAATCCAATCATAATGATAGCGTCCCATTTAAAAAAATCATTGAAGAATTTTTTTATCGTAATCCTGGATAAATAAATTGCAAATGTTAATTCTTTAATCATTTCCTGGCGTAAATTTTCCATTTTGCTTTACTTTATTAACCACGTCACTTGCATTTTGCACTCTGTGCACACTTATTTAACCTCATATATGCTTCGTTTTTTCCATAATACGATCCTTAATAACATTAATGGACGAATATTTTCTGCTACGAAAAAAATTAATCGCCTAAGGCATCAGCTTACTGCTTCCATCAATAATATGTGTCAAGAAAAACTTGTAGCAGTTTGATAGTTCGCATTTAAACCGTACAAACTTTCACCATCTAGCGAACGATGTTCCAACTTCCGCTACAGTTCCCTATCACGACCACAACAGGTGCAACAGGTGTCGAACTTTAACCCACCTGTATTTCAAAAAGCAACACCTATTACGAAAAAGCGTTATCTCGCCCTGCCCGATCCTCACACCCGGAGAAGCCCCATTAAGCGACTTTACATGTACATTTTTTTATCGTCGATTTTTTCCAGACAGCGACAGATTTCCTCGTCGTTTATTTGCGTGTTTATTGACCGATATCTCAAGCACTCGCTGAATCATCAAACCACTCTTCCAACCTCGAACACACCAGGTCAAGGTTCTTTCCTCAAATTTCCCGGCTCCTCCGCCACCGCCTAGCACCTCGTGTCTCCGTCCGCTACCAGCCTTCCCTGTAATGACCATAATTACTCCTGACCACAAATTCGAGCCGATAATCCGAATGGGTTGAAACCACACTCAACTGGTGCGTTCCGACGCTTCGGCAAAGAATCCACTTGATAACTGATCAGGATTTATCCAAACCTCGGCAAAACAATCGAAAAAAACCAAAGAAAAAAGGACCCGGGGCGACGTCTCGCCGACGTCACCTCGGCCACAAATACCGCACACACACCCATATTTGTGCTTGTCCAGATCGATACCCATTGGTCAGGTGCGTGGTCGTGGTCTTCCAGGAGGAGCGACGAATTCGCTCCTCAATAAGTTCCAGATTTGGCGAGAAATATCCGGAAAACGAAATCGTCGTTATTTATGCCGGGCCGCGGTGGCACCGAAGAGTGCAGGTGCTGCTGCCGAAACGTCGAGTGACTGGACAAAGCGCGTATTTGCTTAATTTTGCGTTATCTTGCTTGTTAAGGCGAATTGCTACCGTTTTATAGGTGCTAGTGCGATGGGTCCCGTGGACGTCTGCTGCGTCGTGCTGCTGCTTGCTGCCCCAGGTGAGTTTTTGCCGCTCGAGCTGATAAGAAAATTGCGACAGGTGCGAGCCACAAGAATGAGATCGCAACTATTGTTCGATTATCGAAAGTTTCAATATTTGCGGAATGGCGTAACTTGTTTGGTAAATAAGTCAAGTGATCTAGTAGCGAGGACTTGGGTATTGTGGAAACAGTGATAAGTAAAATACATGTTTTTTTTTTATTTAGATTTGAGGAATTTTTAAATGATAGTACGGTTTTTTCGACTTCGTTTTTCTACTTACTTCAAAAGTAGAGCAATATTTTCAAGTAAATTAAACGAGTATCTATTAGAAAAACACAAACACGTTCACTTGTTTAAACAATATTTCCATAATTTAGATAACGACTGCATTATTGCTGATAAGACGCTCTAAAATTTAAATAATATGTAGATAAAATTGTACGTAACCTTTAAAGATCCTTATTTTATGGATAAGACATTTTTTTTAAATACCTAAATAACTTTCGTGTTTTAAGTATACAACATTAAGGAAATTATTAAAATTATATTTATGAATTGATCAAAACGGAACCCTGTAGCAAGCAAATCACATCTGTGTTTTTTTGTCACTTGTTTGTCACTTGAGAGCAGCAAAAATGTAAAAAAATATGATGGCTTATCAATATGAGGTACATGGTTTTTCACATGAAAAGAAAATACCTTACAGTGTATATTTAATCTGAAAATACTAAATAATACCAGGCTTCATTAATTCAATTGTTGCGGCTGCTATCGGATTTAAATTTGAAAACACATATTTGATTGTTCTCCATTTCGAAACGGTATTTGTTATTGAAACTAGTTTGCTCTAAAGTTTGCTTATATATAAAAATTGATTTACTGTTTTAAAATTTTATTTTGAAAAACAGTCAACAAACCCCAGAAATAGTTTGGTTTATTTCAAAATCTCAAAAATCGATTACAACCTTTTAAGGAAAGTGATAAGTTAAGGAAAAAACTCGATATTTTTATCACTGCGTGATTTAAACTCTACTTAATCGTTTAAATCTTTCGAAATCCCCAAAAACAAAAACGTCTCTTTATCTTATCTTCTTCAGATTGCTTATTTTATTACATGGAGATTTATAGTTTGATTGTTAAATCTCTGTTTTACTGGTTACCCTGTGTTATTATTCTTTTGTAATGTTTGGCATTTTTAAAAACCCAAATTTTTTATTTTTGATATTTTTTTGTTTTAATTTATAGACGTTATCATAAAAAATATTTTTTTCTAAATCGTGAAAAAACCTTGAAGGCTTCTGTTGTTTTATTTTCGAAAATGTTTATTTTTTAAATAATCTGAAATCGTGTAAAAGAATATTAAAGACTGATCTTTTGTTTCGTTTTTAAAGAATTTGAAATATCAAATTTCTAAAATATCAAAAACCCCTATAATTCAACAAATTATGTTAATAATTTTTTAAAGTTGTTTAAATTCCCTAAAATGTCCTACAATTTATAGAATATTAGTAACTTTAAAATTTGCACAGTGCATAAAATTTCCCTTTACACTCTAAAATTATAGATTTTGTTTAATTTAGACATCTTATTAGCTATAAAACTGGAATATTTATTGTTTATTGAAACTTCACAATTTTCGAAATTTTTTTTTTAAATATCTACGATTTATAAAATTTCTAAAACATCTAGAATTTGTAGACTATTTTCATATTCTTCAAAATGGTACGAAATTGTAAAATCTATAGAAACATAAGATTTTTAGTCTCCAAGATTTCATGAAAAGTTCTAGGGTCTCTAGTATCTTTTATTTTTTAAAGAATTTGAAATTCTAAATATCTAAATTCTATAAATAATATGTAAAATCGTTAAAAGCTATAAAATCCTAGAAAGATCAGAATATCTAAAATTCAACATTTTCAAGGAATTATAGATTTTTTAAATGTCATATTTTGCAAAAATAACAAAAATTCATGAAATTTCCATATTTCAAAAAATTTTTAAAGCTGTTCAAAGTTCTGAATTCCGTAAAATCTCTACAATTTGTAGAATATTTAACATGTTTAAAATTTACACGAAGTATGAAATTTCCCAAATTTCTAAAATCCATCACATGGAAAATCTTTAAAGCTTCAAAATTCTAGAATAATCAGATTCTTTAAAACTAAACATTTTCTAGAATGTCCAGAATCTCTATACTCTAAAATTATAGATTTTGTTTAATCTATATTCTACAAAACTTCTGATATCTAAGAAATGCAGAATGTTTGAAACTTCTAATTCCTATAAAAAAAAAGGTTAAAATATAACAACTATTTTATATTTTTTATCTACTGAAACTCCAAAATGTTTTAAATTTTTAGAATCTTGGGTTTCTCGAAAATTTCTAAACACACTGATACCTAAAAATATCTAGAATTTCTAGAACATCTGTATTTTGTAGAATATATATTAACATATTCTTCAGAACTGTAAAAACCTGTAAAATCAATAGAAACAGAATTTTCAAAATCACCAAAATTGCATTAAATTCTAGAATTATTGGAATATTTATACCATAGAAGATGTTTAGAATATCTGCAATTCCTCAAAACCTTCTATATCCTTTAGCATCTTCGTAATCGTAGAATTTGTAGAAACTAAAATTTCTGCCATATCTAACTACTCAAAATCTTTAAATTTCTATAAGAATTCAAAACTTTGAAATTACTATATGCTTAAGATTTTTAAATTCTGCAAAATTTCTTGAATTCTAGAACTGGTGAAAAGTCTACAAAATATATGTTATCCAAATTACACAAAATTTTGAAGTTTGTAGTCTCAAGACTTTCTAAATCCTTTTTCATCTGTAGAATTTATAGACACAACCTTAGAATTTCGAAAATTTCTAGGAACGGAAATTCCTAGAATATCTGAAGAACTCAAAATATTTAAATTTCTGAGTTCTTTCTGTTAAACTTTCAAATTCCAATATAGGTTTAATTTTTTACAACCTCCAAAATTTTATGAATTCTAGAATTGTTGGAAATTAAAGATATTATGATATTTAAAATATAGAAAATTTTTAGAATGTCTGAAATTTCTGATGCCTCTAGCCTCAAAACTTCTAAATTTTGTATCATCTTCGTAATCTCCTAAACTGTAGAATTTATAGACACAATTTTGGAGTTTCGAAAATTTCTAGAATATGTAAACTACTCAAAATATTTAAATTTCTGTAAGTCTCCAAAACCTTAAGATTCCAATATTGCTTTAAATTGTAAAAGATCTCCAAAATTTCGTGAATTTTAGGATTGCTGAAAGTTCTAAAAGATACATAATATCCAAATTATAGAATATTTTTAGAATATGTGAAATTTCTGATTTCTTTAGCCCAAAACCTTCTAAGTTCTTTATCATCTTCGTAATCTCCAAAACTGTAGAATTTATAGGCACAACCTTAGATTTTCTAAAATTTCTAGAATCTAAAATTCCTGAATATCTAAACTCCTCAGAATATTTAAATTTCGCAAATTCTCCAAAACATTAAAATTTCAATAGTGTTTTAATTTTTTTAAATCTCCAAAATTTCTTGAATTCTAGAATTGCTGGAAGTTCTACAAGATACATATTGTCTAAATTACAGCAAATTTTTAGAATATCTGAAATTTCTGATGTCTCTAGCCTCAAAACTTCTAAATTTTGTATCATCTTCGTAATCTCCTAAACTGTAGAATTTATAGGTACAACCTTAGAGAAACAGAAATTCCTAGAATATCTAAACTACTCTGAACCTTTACATTTCTGGAGGTCTCCAAAACTTTAAAATTTCAATATTGTTTCAATTTTTTTAAGGCTCCAAAATTTCATGAATTCTAGAATTGCTGGAAATTCTACAAGATTCATATTATCTAAATTACAATAAATTTTTAGAATATCAGATATTTCTGATGTTTTTAGCCTCAAAACCTTCTAAATCTTTTATCATCTTCCTAATCTCCTAAACTATAGAATTTATAGGTATAACCCTAGAGTCTCGAAAATTTCTAGTTTCTAAAATTTCTGGAATTTCTAAATTATATAGAATCTTTAAATTTTTAGAAGTCTCCAAAACTCTAAAATTCCAATACTGTTTTAAGTTGTGTAAAATATCGGAAATTTTGTGAATTCGATAATTGCTGAAAGTTCTACAAGATACATAATATCTAAATTATAGAACATTTTTAGAATATTTGAGATTTCTGGTGTCTCTAAATTCAAAACTTTCTAAATTCTTTATCATCTTCGTAATCTCCAAAACTATAGAATTTATAGGCACAACTTTAGAGTTTCGAAAATTTCTCGAAATCAAAATTCCTCGAATATCTAAACTATTCAGAACCTTCACATTTCTGGAGCTCTCCAAAACTTTAAAATTCCAATATTGTTTTAATTTATTTAAGGCTCCAAAATTTCATTCATTCTAGAATTGCTAGAAGTTCTACATGATACATTTTATCTAAATTACAATAAATTTTTAGAATATCTGAAATTTCAGATGTCTTTGGATTCAAAACTTTCTAAATCTTTTATCATCTTCCTAATCTCCTAAACTGTAGAATTTATAGGTATAACCCTAGAGTCTCGAAAATTTCTAATGTCTAAAATCTCTGGAATTTCTAAATTATATAGAATCTTTAAATTTTTAGAAGTCTCCAAAACTCTAAAATTCCAATGTTGTTTTAAGTTTTGTAAAATATCGAAAATTTTGTGAAGTCTATAATTGCTGAAAGTTCTACAAGATACATAATATCTAAATTATAGAAAATTTTTAAAATATCTGAAATTTCTGATGCCTCTATGCTCAAAACCTTCTAAATTCTTTGACATCTTCGTAACCTCCTAAACTATAGAATCTATAGCTACAACCTTAAAGTTTCGAAAATTTGTAGGAACTAAAATTCCTAGAATATCTAAACTACTCAGAACCTTTACATTTCTGGAGGTCTCCAAAACTTTAAAATTTCAATATTGTTTTAGTTTTTTAAGGCTCTAAAATTTCATGAATTCTAGAATTGCTGGAAGTTCTACAAGATTCATATTATCTAAATTACAATAAATTTTAAGAATATCTGAAATTTCTGATGTCTTTAGCCTCAAAACCTTCTAAATCTTTTATCATCTTCCTAATCTCCTAAACTGTAGAATTTATAGGTATAACCCTAGAGTCTCGAAAATTTCTAATGTCTAAAATTTCTGGAATATCTAAATTATATAGAATCTTTAAATTTTTAGAAGTCTCTAAAACTCTAAAATTCCAATATTGCTTTAAGTTTGGTAAAATATTAAAAATGTCGTGAATTCTAGAATTGCGGAAAGTTCTACAAGATACATATCATCTAAATTATAGAAAACTTTTAGAATATTTGAGATTTCTGATGTCTCTAAATTCAAAACCTTCTAAATTCTTTATCATCTTCGTAATCTCCAAAACTGTAGAATTTATAGGCACAACTTTAGGGTTTCGAAAATTTCTCGAAAGAAAAATTCCTCGAATATCTAAACTACGTTCTTTAGGTTTCTGGAGGTTTCCAAAACTTGAAAATTTCAATATTGTTTTAATTTTTTTAAGCCTCCAAAATTTCATGAATTCTAGAATTGCTAAAAGTTCTACAAGATACATAATATCTAAATTACAATAAATTTTTAGAATATCTGAAATTTTTTATCATGTTCCTAAGCTCCTAAATTACAGAATTTATAGGTATAAACCTAGAGTCTCGAAAATTTCTAGAATCGAAAATTTCTGGAATATCTAAATTATACAGAATCTTTAAATTAAAATATTGTTTTAAGTTTTGTAAAATATCAAAAATTTCGTGAATTCTAGAACTGCTGAAAGTTCTACAAGATACATAGATTGAAAATTTTTAGAATTTCTGAAATTTCTGATGCCTCTAGCCTCAAAACCTTCTAAACTCTTTGTCATCTTCGTAATCTCCAAAACTATAGAATCTATAGGTACAACCTTAGAGTTTAAAAAATTTCTAGAATCGAAAATTCCTAGAATATCTAAACTACTCAAAATATTGAAATTAAGGGAATTCTCCAAAACTTTAAAATTCCAAGATTGTGTTAACTTTTTACAGTCTTTATAATTTCATGAATTCTAGAACTGCTGGAAAGTCTACAAGATAGATAATATCTAAATTATAGAAATTTTTTCGAATTTCTGAAATTTCTGATGTCTCAGATCTCAAAACCTTCTAAATCCTTTATCATCTTCGTAATCTCTTAAATTATAGAATTTATAGGTATAACCCTATATTTTTGAACATTTCTAGAAACTCAAATTCTCCAAAAGTTTAAAATTTTAAAATTGTTTAAGTTAAGTAAGTAAAATATCCAAAAATTTCTGCAATTAAAATACACCAAATTTCAGAAAAGTCTGGAACGCAGTTTTTGTTTTATTTTTGAGTTTACATCTTGGGAATCTTTCGTATTTCATTGTTGAAAGAATCTGAAAAACTTCAGCTGGTTCTTTTGTTTGAAAAGACTTTGAGAATTCCTGGTGTCTTGTTTTTGAAACAGTTTCAAAGGATCTTGGACATTCTTAATCTCTTTTTTAAATTAACTTACGTCAAGTACAATTGTGACTAAAAAACCAAATTTATGATACACACTAAAAACTATAGTCTTTTCATAATTATGTTTTCAAAGGAAATGACGTCATCAATTTTTTAAAGAAAAGAATGAACATAATTGACCTACAACACTAAGATAAAAACACACTTTCAATAAAATGAAAACGATTTTATTTATTCATTACATAAAAGACATAAATAAAATTGATTAAACAAATTCTTAAAACGTAGTCTTATTTATAACTTAATACAATTATTACACTATTCTCAACTCTCCTGTGGGATTTCTGACGATTAAATAATAATTAATAATTTGGGAAAAACAACAACGTAATTAAACCAGCGTAAATCCTATAATTCGTTAACAACCATCTCAATTAACACAACCTTCAAAAGTGTCAATAGCATAAATCACTATACAAATTACATAATTACCGCCACATATCTATTATATCAAATTTCGACCACGCTAATTATAGTTCTAACAACGCTAATAACCAATTTCGTGGCCTGTTGTGTACAGAACTTCACACACAACTATTTTTTCCAGTTTTCGCCATCAACTGCTTCCAGTGCTCCTCTTACAAGAACCCCGAATGCGCCGACATCGAAGTGAACGACACCAAAAGCCCCTTCTTGCACAAATGCGAAGAGCGCAACGGCCAGAGGATGTTCTGCAGGAAAATAGTCCAGAAGGTCCTCGACGACCCCACTTTTCACCGGATCACCAGAACCTGCGGCTGGTACGCCTACAAGAGCAACAGCAGCTTCTGCCAGGTCACGGACACGGATTTTAAGCTGGAAACGACGTGCCAGTGCTTTACGGACGCCTGCAACACGGGCAGTGCGGTGACGGCGCCGGTGGCGGCGACGCTCACGGCGGTGTTTGTAGGGCTGTTGATGCGTTAGCGTAGATTCAATTTTAGTGCAAGGACGTTAAATAAGAATTTTCGATTGTTTATTGTTTTAGTTGTGTATTTATTTTTAGTGTTGTTGTTGAGTTTTTGAGGTACTACATATCGGTGTTTTACGGATATGTGGTTGTTAGGTTGATTTTTGTTGATTTTTGTTGTTGGAGATTTTTGGATGAATAAAAACGTAAAAAGAAAATGTGGTTTTTGTTGTACAGTGGATGCAAATTTTAGAGAGGTTGAGTCTCATAAATTAAAATACATTGTTCTGCAACATATTAGTTGTCTTTTGATACCTAACAACTTACAGACCAGCTAAATAATCACAATAATAATAGTAATAATTTAGTGTGTATTTAAACGAAAGACTTATAAATTTGAAGCAAATTGTAGATTGCTAACGTCTCTGTATTTATGCTCTGTTTCATAGTTAGGCAACCAATAATTCAGATAGTTTAGATCCTGGATAGTTTTTCTACCTGCCAATAACAAATTCCTATATTGCAGAATTCTTGGAACATCTAGATGAAGCTTTAGAGACTATAAATACGTTGAGGAATACGGTGGTAATAGTAGGAGATGTTAATATTGATTGGGCTGACACTAATGATTTTTACACAAACAAACTAAAGGGATTGATTGAGGAATATGATATGCTACAATTTGTTGACAGACCTACACGTATAATCAACATAAGTGAAAGTACCATTGATCTTGTATTGACCAATGAAGAATGCAATGTACATGTACTCGATGAACCAAAAATTACTGATCACAGTTTAATATTAATCGAATATTTAGTTAGATCATCTCAAAATTAAACCGGAGAAAAAGAGAACGTTCTACAATAGGGGAAAAATTAACTACCAAAGACTTGCTGGAAATCTTAGTACGGTGAACTGGCAAAGTATATATAAGTGCAATGATATTGATACCAAATATGAAAACTTGACTACGAATATTGAAAAAATATTAGATTTAGTTGCACCAATAAAACGCTTAAAACTTCGAAGATATTCATAAGGCTATTAAAGAAAGAGATACTAAATACAGAGTATTTAAGACTACAAGAAATAAAGAAGACTGGACACAATATAAAACACATAGAAATAAGGTAGTTAGCTTAATAAGAAGAAAAAAGTCTGAATATTATGAAACTGTGATAGATGGAAATAAATAGAATCAAAAAACAATGTGGAAAACTCTCAAAACATTATTAGCATCAAGTAAGTGTAATACAGACATAAGTGAAACAAATTTTTCAGGAAATATAATAAATAAAAAAGAAATAACATCAAAAAAGTTAAATGAATTTTATGTAAATAGCATTGATGAACTATCCAATAGCATTCCTCAACCAACACAAACATGGGAAATTCAAGAGTCCAATATCAAAATCAATAACTTCAAAATAGTTGACATACGAGAACTGAAAAACATTGTTATATCTTTAAAAAGTACAGGTAGTCCGGAGAATATTAGTATAGACATTATAAAAAATTGCTTTGATGCAGTTGCAGAACCATTATTAAATATAGTAAACACATCTTTATTGGAATGTGTGATACCAAAAAGACTGAAATTTTCAACAATTGTACCTATAAATAAAGTACAAGGAGCAATCAAACATAATGAGTTTAGACCTATAAATATGTTACCAACAATTGAAAAAATAATTGAGATGGCAGTGTGCAATCAGTTACTAGAATTTATCGAGTACAACAGAATCCTAGTTGCAAATCAATCTGGCTTTAGAAAAAAACACAACTGTGAAACAGCACTACAAAATGTAATAGCAGATATGAAGGAACAAATAGAAACCACAGTTGCAGTTTTTTTAGATTTCGGTAGAGCTTTCAAACAATAGACAGAAAAATTTAATAAGTTAAAAAAGTTAGGAATCGACGGAAATGCAATAAAATGGATAGAAAATTATTTGACAAATGGAACACAAAGAGTAAAATGTGATAATATTCTTTCTGAATCAGTAGATGTAAAATATGGGGTCCCCTAAGGAAGCATTCTAGGTCCAATATTATTCGTGTTGTACATTAATGACATAATAAACGCAGTAGACAAATGTACTATCCATCTGTTTGCATATGATACCTTAGTCCTCCTGTTAGGTGAAGATTTAAATAAAATATTAGATACATTAGATGAGTAAATGTTAGTGTTAATGGATTGGTTCAATTAATTATAATAGACTCAAGTTAAATATCGATAAAACAAAATATATGATCATAAGCAACAAAAATTATGCAGATTATCCGCGACATGTAAAAATAGGAAACCAAAATATAAATCGTGTTAAGCTAATTAAATATTAGGAATACAAATAGACGATGAGACAGCATGCCAGATACGTTATTAAAAAATTGTCAAAAAAATGGGTTTTTTTAAGACGAATCAAGAATGAACTGCCGATGTGCCTTAACAGTATACAAAACAATTGTATTACCACATTTTATGTATTGCCCGACCATTTTGTATCTCTTATGCCAAACGGACAAGGAAAGCTTGCAGAAAATACAAAATAGAGGAATGCGAATTATCTTGCAGTGCAGTAGATATACAAGAATATGTGATATGAGGAGAGTCTTGGAGTGGTTGGATGTATCTGATATCATTAAGCTGCAGACCTTAATTTTAGTACATAAATTAATTAATAATATGGGACCTGAGTATTTGAACAAAAAAATTCAAAATATGAAGGCGAAACAATAAATTCATTGTTTTACAAGGGCATCAGACTATATAACACGTTACCAGAGAGTATAAAAAGCCAACCAACTTTTAAAAAATTCAAGCGTCAGGTAAGGGAATTACTATACAACAAATCCTTCGAGGAAATTGTAGCAAGGTTTTGCTTTATCCAGTGGAATTGATTGTTTGGAAATTATAGGTGAATAAAACTGAACGAAACGATTGAAATGTGTATTGCAACTTGGTGGTACATCAACTGAACTTACAGTGTCAAGTGCGCACATGCGCAAGCTTATGTCGGTAATACAGTTAGCAAAAGGGTAGTTTTCTATAATATCAACACTCCCACTAGAAAACTACAACTATCAACAACAAAAATTTTTAAATTTAAATAAAGTAAAATTAACGCTTCTTGAGTCCCATTTCCTTCAGGTGCTTTTCATGCAGTTCCAGAGGTAATGCTTTGGTCATCACATCAGCTGTCATTTCCTTCGAAGCGATGTGTTGAACTTGTATGGCCTTTTCTTGAATTTGCTCACGAAGAAAATGATGTCTCACATCTATGTGCTTTGTCCTTGCTCTGTATCCTCCCACTCGACTCAGATCCACTGCGCTTTTATTGTCACATTTCAGAATAGGTCCTTCGTCATCGACTTCAGGCATTAATTCATTTAGAAGGCCCTGTAACCAAATAGCTTCTTGCGCCGCTGCACTTAGAGCCATGTATTCTGCTTCAGTTGTGGATAAAGCAATGGTGGGTTGTTTCTTGCTATTCCATGATACAGGGGCCCCTTGGAATGTAAAGACATATCCTGTGGTTGACCGTCTCTCATCTTCATCACCTGCCCAGTCTGCGTCACAAAAACCTGCAAGTTTTCCATTCTCTGTCCTTGTAAAACAGAGTCTGAAGTCCTTTGTGCCCTGGATGTATCGAAGGACTCGTTTCACAGCTGACCAGTGAGCAGAGCCTGGATTATTGTTAAATCGGCTCAATAACGCTAGAGAATATGCCAGGTCCGGACGCGTACCCTGACATGCATACATCAATGACCCAACTGCCTCTTGATATGGTACATTCTCCATGTTTTGAACATCGTTCGTGGATTTTGGGCACATTTCTTTTGTTAGCTTCTCGGATGGACTTAACGGAGTTTTAGTCGGATTGCAGTTTGCCATGTTGAATTTTGATAAAACCTCTTCTAAATATTTTGATTGGTCCAACCATAATTTGCCCTCTTTTCTGTCTCTTGTTACCCGAATTCCCAGGATATACTGTAATTCTCCCAAATCTTTCATTTTGAATCTGCTTTCCAATTCTTTCTTCAATTCATTTTTCATTTTTGTATCGTTGCCCAAAATGAGTAAATCATCTACATAGACTGCGACAATTACAATCTTATAATCCTTGCAAAGATAATATATGCACTCATCTCGTTTTGATTGATTTAGCCCAATTTCTATAAACGCTTGATGTAACTTCAAATTCCATTGTCTTCCAGCTTGCTTCAAACCATACATTGCCTTGTTTAATTTGCAAACTTTATTTTCTTGGCCTCTAACTTCAAATAATTCAGGCTGCTGAATAAAAATGTCATCGTTAAGATCTCCTTGCAAGAACGCAGTCACTGCGTCCATATGATCAATGTCAAAGTCATACTTGACTGCAAGGCCTAAGATCAATCTAATCGAATTGTATCGTACCACAGGTGAATAGGTTTCTTGATAATCTATCCCCTTACGTTGACAACAACCTTTCACTACAAGTCTGGCTTTAAATCGATCTATGTTCCCGTCTTGATCTAATTTTGTTTTAAATACCCATTTGCTGTCAATCACTTTAGCATTGGTTGGCAAATCTGTGAGAGTCCATGTTTTGTTTTCAATGAGTGCATCGTATTCAGCTTGCATTGCTTCAAGCCATCTTGTACACTCAGGACTCGAAACAGCTTCTTCAACATTTTTGGGCTCCCTCGTCAACGACTGAACATGGTAGCAAATATATTCAGAAAATTCCTTTGCTTTTCTTTCCCTACTTGATTTTCTTATAGCGGGTTCTTCTCTTTCTGTGTTTTCGACTTGCTCAACATCATCATTGGTTTCAATTTCATGGACATTACATTCAACCTGAATTTCTTCAATTTCTTGTTCATCAATTTCGTCTGCTTGAGTTTCTTCGATCTCACACTCTTCACTTTCTTCGGTATGATCATGGAGGTTCGTTTCATCGGTGATTGGGTAAAACAACCAATCATTGTTTTCACATTGCGATGCCTTTGGAAGTTCTTTTTCAAAAAATACAACATCTCTAGCCTCCACAATTTTCTGTTTTCTTATGTGATAGAGCCGGTAGCCTTTCGAACCATTTGCATAGCCCACATGAATGCATTCTTCTGACTTCGGGTCCAATTTTCTGCGTTGTTGTTTAGGCACGTGAACAAATGCCCTACAACCAAACACTTTTAAATAGGATAGATCAGGTTTCTTACCTGTGTA